CACCCCCCTCCTTATGCCTAGGGAGGTGTGTTGTGGGGTTCACCCATCCAAGAAGGCATTAATTGAAGCCAGTTCATCTCTGGACATGTTTGCGAATCCCACAGGCGTCAAAATCTCCATGAGACATCCTTGGGAATAATTAGCTGAATGCAATTGCCTTAGTAACCAAGTTAGCATCCGAGCCCCATGGAGTGGCACAGCTTTTGAACAGAATTAATCAATGTCAACCGTGCTGATGTTTGTTCTTTGCAGGATTAAAGAAAAATCAACAACCCCCAAGTGTGGCTTGACCAGATGCACTTTCTCTCCCAAAGGATAAATAAAGCAAGAAGAAAATGATTTCAATGGCAGCATGTGAGGTTTTATAATAAACGCAAGACTGAACTACCTTAGTCGGCGGTGCATACACTTCAAAAAATCCCTTTCATGCCTTCAAACTGAGTCATGGGTCTCTAACTGGTCTATCTGGCTCACCCATGTATGGACTCTGTGACTATGGGAGAATGCTTAACTCTTCTCAGCCTTAGTTATTGTTGCCCGTAAGAAAGGGGTAATAATATTGCCAACTTATATGCCTTCTAGGGCTGCTATACAAACTGCCACAGATCAAACAACAGAAATGAATTTTCTTGCAGTTCTGGAGGCTGGAATCCAAGATCCAGGTCCCGCAGAGTCAGTTTCCTCGGAGGGCTCACTCTGGCTTGTGGGTGGTCGCCTTCTTTCTGCCTCTTCACATGGTCATTCCTCTGCTCACGGGCCCCTGACATCTCCCCGTGGGTCCTCACCTCCCTTATAAGTCAGATTGGACTAGCGCTCACCCCGATGTCCTCATTCTAACTTGATGACCCCTCTAAAGGCTGTCTCCAAAGACAGTAACATTGTGAGCCACTGGGGTAGGGACCGCTGCATGAACACGGTCCAATTCATAACACCACCCAGCAGGGCTGCTTGGTAGAATGGATGATGCCTCTCCACGGATACAACATAATCCTCGAAACCGGTGACTGTGCCACCTTGCACGACCAAAGGGACTTTGCAGATGTGACGAAGCAAAGGATCATGGGGTGGGAAAGTGATCCAGGCGGGCCCAGTGTCATCCTGAGGGCTCTTCCAGAGGCAGGCAGCGAGGTCAGAGGCAGCAGAAGGACAGGCGATAACAGAAGCAAGAGCTCGGAGCGCGGCAAGGAGGGGCCGTAGGTCAAGGCACCCGGGCAGCCGCCAGAAGCGGGAAGGGCAAAGAACAGGCTGTTCTCCCCCAGAGCCTTCGGAAGGAAGGAAGCCATCCCTCTGGCTCCACTTTAGCCCCCTAAGGCCCAGTTCGGACTCCAGAATTGCGAGAGAACGAATTCATGTTGTTTTGAGTCACCCCGTCTGTGGTGACTGGTGGCAGCAGCCCCGGGACACTGGTGCGGGTCGCCGTGAGGACGACACGAGGGCCTGGCACAGTCATCGGCAGGGTGGGAGCACTCAGAAGGGGTCAGCCTGCCGGCCACACCCCCACCAGGGCCGTCCCAATTGCAACGGGTATTGGGGGCGGAGAGGCCGCGTTGGCAAAAGCTGCCAAATTCCCCCGTCACGTTGGTGCTTCCTGCCCCGTCTGAAGTCAAGGTCCCAGAGAGTTGGGGGCTGTGCGGGGGTTGGGAGCACAAGCTTCAGAGCTGGGGAAGGTCCGCCCCTGCCTGAAGTCCGTCGTTTTTTCTTTCATTCATTCGGCAACTCTTTCTGAACCGCATCCCTGCCCCACTCTGAGGCTTGGCGCTCCCCAGTCCTGTGGCAGCGGGGAGTCGATGGGCAGTGTCATGCCAGGTCATCGGTCCTGGGACCCAAGGAAGCAAGGAGGGGCTGGGGGCCAGAGGAGGCACTTAATTAGCACAAACCGGGTGGCTCCAAGCAACAGAAGTGTCTTATTTTACAGCTCAGGACACCAGAAGTCCAGAACCAAGGTGTCAGCACATTTGGTTCTTCCGGAGGCTCTGAGTGTGAAGTTCCCACCTCCCTCCTGGCTTCCAGTGGTCCCAGGCAATTCCTGGTACCCTGTGTCTCATCAGTGCATCACTCCACATTCCACCTCTGTCTACACATGGCCTTCTCCTCTGTGGGTATCTGTGTCTCTTTCCCCTCTTCTTATGAGGACACCAGTCACTGGATCTAGGGCTCACCCTACTCCAGTTTGACCTCACCTTAACTGAGATACAAGACAGAACTGCCTTGGTAACCAAGTAATCGTTTGCTGGCAAAGACACAATTTGCTGGGACACATAGACACCCTTCTCTGGCAGAGGCACTATTTCTCAATAATGTCACATTCATTCACAGGCCCTGGCTAGACGTGCATTTTGCAGAGACGTTCTTCAACCTTCTGCAGTATCCAGGAGGACATTGCAACTGAGCTGTGTCTTAAGTTGGGGTGTTCAGTGGGAAGAAAGCACATAGTCGAGAGACAAGGCCTGGCAAAGTTTCAGGCACCAGTAGCACCCTAGGTGGCCTAGCATGGCCAGGCTGCAGGACACAGAGGACCAGCTGACTGACCAGGTCAGAAAATGACCTAAGACCTTCAGACCCTGATCACTGGGTCAGTGCTTCCAAAACGCTTGTCTACAAATAGTCCTGGGGTATGCAACATCCAAGCTTCTGTCTAAAATTGTGTCCTTTTGGCTCTTCTGGGTTAAAATGGTTCCTTCTGCTTCTTCTCTCTTTATGCACGTATGGTAGTAACACTTGGTAGTTACTTTTAATATCCTTAGTTGTCAGTTTGGGGTTTTTTTGCTTTTTTTGAACTGGAGTCTCACTCCATTGCCCAGGCTGGAGTGCAGTGGCACACTCACGCCCACCCCAGCATCAACCTGCTGGATGCTGGCGATCCTTCTGCCTCAGCCTTTCAAGTAGCCAGAACTACAGGTGCATGCTACCATGCCCGGCTGATTTTTAATATTTATTATAGAGATGAGGTCTCACCAAGTTGCCCGGGATGATCTTGACAAGCGGGCTCAGACAGGCCACTTGCCTCGGCCTCCCAAAGTGCTGGGATTACAGGCTGAGCCACCAAGCCTGGCCAGTTGTCAAATTTAAAAGTTGAAAGGCACATCTCAGAGTCTGCTTTTCATTTCTGAGATTATAATGCAACATAGAATCCCAAAGCCTGACACCAGTGCCATAGGCACTAGAGAGCCATTAAGGAGATTTATGCAATGGAGGGACAGGGTGAGATTTACGCTTTGAAAGGCCATCTGAGTCATAGTAAAGAAGTAATGCAGCCTTATGTGTGGGTGTTGTCACAAATGAAAAGTTTCCTGAAATGTGAACAACAATTTTTAGAAAATCAAATTAGATATGTATTATCAGCATGTTCTTTGAATTATTACTGCCTACTTCTGGGAATTATTCAGCCTAATTCTGGGAACCTTCATTTTGGTTTTTTCCATTTTCCCACCCACCAGCAGAGAACATTGATCTAGAAACCAGTTTGAGAGTAGGTCTTATCTCTACTAACAATTGACCTTTATTTTAACAAGTCACCAAGGGGGAAATGGCACATCACGGACCCTCTGCAAATAGTTCTCTCTTCATTGATAAAATAAGATTAGTGATGGTTGCCTCTAAGAGTTTTGTCAGGATTAAGTGAAGTGACAAATAAAATACCCTCCTCCGTGGTACCCAATACCAAATAGCCGCACTGCACATTGTTAAATCCATGTCACGTGCTTCCTGTCATCCCTGGCACATAGTCAGCACTCAGGAAAGACCAACTGTTAACACTTTCAAGACTGCCATCAACAGAGGCATCATGGTGGGGACTGCAGCTTGCACTTGGTCTCTGCCTCCTTGGGAAGCAGTAGACAGGGGAGGAAGAAGAAGACTCCAATGAGTAGTGATGGTGTGTGGTTTCTTAATTGTTACCCAGCTTCTAGAACAACTCGTGCCAATGTGGTGAGAGATTTCAAAACTTGGGAATGAAGTTCCTTGGCATCCTGTCCCACATTGGCTTGCTGGTGCTGGTGTGTGGCTGCATAGCCCACTCAAGTTGGCTTGAATTCAAGTCAAAGGTCAACAGCCAGGATGAGTCCCTCTGATCACGCCTCAACCTCCAGTCAATGCCTCCAGCCATCCTTGCCCATTCTGTTGGCATCACCTCCATGCTAAAATGTCTTTGCCTCCCTCTGTTATTAATGACAATCGTGTCTTCTATGTGCCTGGCCCCATGCTGGTTGCTCTGGGCTTCATTCTCCTCCTCTGGAAAATGGGAATAACAGCAGCAATCTCGCTGTCCTGCGAGTGTATGAGATGGCATTTGCTTGGCCCAGAGTACGGCCCAAGCGCAGTGCATAAGAAGTGCTGAAATAAATGACAGTGACCCATTCCTCCAGAGTCTTCCTGTAACCACATGGAGTAGGTAATATCATCCAACTTACAGCTGAGGAAACTGAGCCTCACAGAGGGCAGTGTGCTCATGTCTACACAGCCAGCAAGAGGCAGACGCAGGACTGGAACTCAGGGCTTCCATCTGTCTTTTCCCACCTCCCCCAACCTCCTGCATGCACATAGATGTGTCCCCTTCACTGGTGATAAAACAGCCACAGATTTTAACTTTGCAAGTCTGCCTTTTTTCTCCAGGTTTTTTTTTGTCTTCATTGCTGCATAAGATTGCCAGCAATGAATCTTAAGAAACCCCCTGTCAAGGGACACATGCAGAAATGTCCTCGCAGCCTTTCCTTGCAGCCTGTGCATGGGTTCCATTGGACCAGAGCCATTTCTGGGCAGTGATTTTAAAATAGCCCAGCTGACATTTTATGCTTTGTTTTATTTGAGGGCTGGGAAATAATTCAAGAGCAGGACCAGATTTTATAACCTCGCATGCATCCTTTCCATCAAAGTGTCATTCTGCCCAGCTCTGAAATTAGGGGCCTGTCCTCAGAAAACGTCGTCGCATCCACACAATGCTTCCGATGCCCTTTGGAACGCTCGAGCCTGTTTTCAACAGGACAACACTGTGCAGCTGAGATATGATCAATGTGAAAAATAGAGCTGGAGGAAATGGTCCTGAAACCAGCGACGCTGAAGGCTCTGATAAGATGCTTTGCCGGTGAAGTGCTCTTCTTATTAAATCCCAAGTGACTCAGACTCTCCGTCTCCTCCAGACGGTTTTGCTGGCAACTGCCCAGTTTGTCCCCCATGAAAGAGACCCGATTTGCCAAAAGCTCAAGAGTCTTCCCCTGAATTTGCCCCAGCTTCTTTGAAAAGAGTCACGACGGTCCTGTCACTGTCATTTATTTCAGCACTTCTTATGCACTGCGCTTGGGCCGTACTCTGGGCCAAGCAAATGCCATCTCATACACTCGCAGGACAGCGAGATTGCTGCTGTTATTCCCATTTTCCAGAGGAGGAGAATGAAGCCCAGAGCAAGTGGCCCGAGATGATACAGCTAGTGCATTCATTTTCTGTTGCTGGGTAACTAATTACTACTAGCTTAACAACTTACGGTAATTCACATTTATTATGTTCTCTCAGTTTCCGAGGATCAGGCGTGGCTTCACTGGGTCCAAAACCTAGTGGAACCCAAGGCCCTCTCCCAAGCTCTCGGGGTTGTTGGCAGAATTCGGTTCTGTGTCCCCATTTTCTGGTGACTGGAGGCCAGAGGTCACTTCTTTCGTGCCTAGAGGTGCCCGCATTCCCTGCCACGTGGTCTGCTCCCACATGGCAGCTCGTGTCTGGGCTCTCGTTCCAGTCTGTCAAGGCAGAGTCTTATATAACCCCACGGAACCATGGCACCGGCATCCCAGCCACTTTGCCTTATAACAAAACCGAATCAGGGGAGCGACGCCCCTCAGCTTTGCCAGGTTCCGTGGGCTAGAGGCTCACCACGGGTCAGGCCATTTGTCCTGCCAGCCTGCTGCTTCCTCATCTGCAGATGAGAACTCACTGCCTGGAAGGTACTCAGCTGGCTCTTTCCTGCCACTCAGATGTCCACCTAATGTCACCTCTTCTGAGAGGCCTTCCTGACCACCTGCCGAAAGCAGGGCCCCTCTATGGGTCTCTTTTCCAGACCTTAATTGCTTTCTTCAGCACACCTGTCCCAGCTTCAACTCACGCCTCGTATTCACGTGCTTTCTGGTGTGCCTGTCTTCCTCGAGTGCAAGCCTTGTCTTGATCACGATGTGTCCCCATGACCACAGACAGAGGGGACACTTCATGATGCTTACAGTTTCGCTCTGTGGGCTGGATTCTGTGCCAAGTCGTGGCACGGGAAGAAAGTGTGTTATTTACAATGTGTCTCATCCGATCAGCAAAGGAAACTGAGGCACAGACAGGGATTACGCAGGTAGTTGAAGAAGGGGCTAAAGTTAGCACCCTGGGTCAGACTCTTCCGAACAGGGCAGCCCCCTTCTGGTGGTGCCTAGGGACCAAGCCAGCCCCATCCGTGCCCCATCCTGAGCTCAGGATATGAGATGCGGTGAGCAGGGCCCTCCTGAGGCCGCTGCCGGGTCTTGGACAGGCGGTAGACTTGTCCGAGGCCGCGCCACACTGTGATCTGTGAGGCCCCCAGCTGCCCCTGGAGATCTGCCACCCCCTCTATCCGTGCTTCTTCCACTGTGCCAGTTGTATTAGCTTCCTGCAGCTGCCACAGCAAATTGCCACAAAATTGGTAGCTTAAAACCCTGCAAATGTATTCTCTCATACGCCTGGCCAGAAGCCCCAAAGCAAAGTGTAGTCAGGGCTGTGCTTCTCTGGCGTCTCTAGGGGAGACTTGGCTCCTGGCTGCTCCAGCTTCTGGTGGCCCCGGGTGTTCCTTGGTCTGGGGCTGCGTCACTGCAGTCTCCACTCTGTCTCCCCATGGCCATCTTCTCTCCTGCTTCTCTGGGTTCACATCTTTCACCTCCATTCTCCTATAAAGACACAAGTCATTGCAACTGATTACGCCTGCAAAGACCCCATTTCCAGGTTCCACTCTGGGATTCTGTGTGGACTTGAATTTGGAGGGGATGCCATTCAAGCCAGTACAGCAGGTCACATCTTCTGAGGTCTGTCACCCGCCCCACCCCGCTGTTGTCTTGACTCCGCCTTAAGCTGTGGTCCTGCCTGGCGTGTCATGGCTTATACTCCCTGGGCCACAGTCACTTCTGCCTCTCTGATCCCTACGTTCCAAACCAGGTCATCCCAGACCTAGCAGTACCTCCAGGGATGAGCTTTAACATTGATACTGTGTTTTCATTCTTGATCCATATTTTATTTTCTCTTTTCTTGAGAAACCCTGTTGGGAGTCACCCTGGGCAGGGACCAAGTGTTTGCTGATTTGATCCACAAACACTTGACTCTGCATCTTCTGCCTTTTGTTTCGGTTTTGTAGGTTCTCAAGTTCATTCTTCCCACGGGGCTCCCTGAGCACCTCCACAATAATTTCTTTGGTCACAGTGGAGGTTTTGTGACCTCGGCAGCAGGGGCCCACTTTCTTAATGCTCATCAATACTCGTGGGCTTGAAAAGTCACCAAGAAGATAAAAATGTAAATATATAGGCTAAGTGTTTCTTTCATTCCCAAACCCACAGGCATTGTATCACTTGAATACAAGTAACCACAGTATGTTTTCAGGTAGAATTAATATTTGATAAACTCAGGAGCAGTCACTGTATATTTCAAAGAAAGCGATCATTAGTCTCATCAGACTTGGCATTTATTATAAATGAGTGAAGATCTGTGCATTTGTAAAGTCTCTGGTTTTAATACAGAGCTGCAGCAAGTATGTGCGTGTTAATAATATGCAAATTGGATTGAAGTTTCACTGCTCTTACGTTCATTCTTCCATCCTTCTACTCAATGTTACTTCACGTGTGTCTCCTGGTGTTGGGCACTGTGCCTGGTACAGGTGAGCAGAGTGGGGAAAGTAAAGCCCCAGCCTTTAAAAAACTCCTCCTGGAATGGTGAGGCGCCTTGCTGTCATGGTGATGTAGAACAGAACTTTCCAGAAACTCCCCAGCCCAGATTGTATTGCATGTCTTTCTGCATGTTACCCTAAAAATGTGGTCAACAAATGTTCTACACAAAAGGCCAGATAATAAATACTCTTTGCATTGAGGGCCACACTAGTCTCTGTTGTCTATTCCTTTTTGTTTGTGTCTGTGTCTGTGGTTTTGTTACTACAAGCATTTAAAAATGCAAAAGCAATTCTTAGCTCACAGACCATAAGAAACAGGCCCAGGACTGGATTTGGCTGGGGGCTGTAATCTGCTCATCTCTAACCTACACAAGTGACTGACCCTTGTTGAGCTCAACGGACACCATGACCCACACGAGAGCCCTGGTGGGAAGATGCTCCCCTGGCAGGCGTAGACCACACGGTCAGTGTACCCTTGTGGCCGTGGTAGTTGGAGTTGAGAGGCCAAAAATTAAGACTATTCAGGAAAAAAGTCTCAAACAATCGTCCTGCTGTTCCAGACAGGAAGAACACAGGCGTTCTATCATCACGCAAATTACTTTCCCATGCCCTGTCTGAGACCCCAGGCCAGGGACAGAAGAGTGCCCTGGGTGTTGCAGATTTGATCCTGACATGGTGCTTGTTGATACACCCCTCTGTGGACTTGGGGATCACATTTCTGGCTTCTTTGTTTTCTTTTTCAGAGATATCAAGCCAGACAACATCCTGCTAGATGAACACGGTAAGCCTGCCATGAATTTTTTATAGACTCAGTGGAATGTTCGAGGCACTGGGAAACCGTAGGGTCCTGGTGAGTTGAATGTTGGGGTTGACTAGAAAACCGTTGTTTTTTTGTCAATCCTGGTGGGCAAACACCTGCGTACATTTCTGGTCCATGACCTGCCGTGGAAAGTGAACTTACTTAAGGGGAAGTTAAAGTCTAAATCCAAAGTCATTGCTGTTCATATCCTGCTGTGAGGATGACAAGGCAGCAGTGGGAACAGACCTTGGGTTTCCAACCCCAGCCCCACCCACCATGTATTAACCTGTGGCTTCAGGAGTCACTCACCTCTCTGAGCCTCAATGTCCTCGTCTGTAAAATCGAACAAGGTGCCCACCTTGCAGGTTGTCTTGGGGATGAAATGACTTGGTGTATGCCTCGTAACCAGAGCTCCATCATCGATCAGCCACAAAGTTTTTCCTCATCTTTTGGCTATGTAAGGCTTCTTTCATATGCACACAGATCCCTTGAGACTCTGTATTTTAACCGCTGCTGGGAGGCCAACGCAGCTGGTGCATGGACCACTCTTTGTAGCGAGGCATCATGTCAGTGGTTCTCCAACTCTGACCCTGTCAGAATAACCTGGAGGACCCAGTAAAAATCAAAGCCAGACCCTATCCTGCTTCAGTGAACCTGGGCCTCCGTCCTGGGCCAGCATTCTGTGGATGAGCTACCTGGCAAAGTTTAAGAACCTTGAGTCCGGAGCACAGCCCGAGAACATTCCGTGGACTTGACAATCGATTGCAGTTGATGCCAACAGCAGCCTGACAGCCTTGAAAACTAAATTCGCTGGTGTTACCTCAAGAGCCTGTCCTTCAAGACCTTTCAGGGGGTGGGCTGGAGCAAGCAGGTGGGATTTTTCCAAGTTTGAGGCTCTCAAAGATGAACGTGGGCCAGACGCGGTGGTTCAGCCTGGCATCCCAGCACTTTGGGAGGCCTGAGCCCAGGGCTTCGAGACCAGCCCGGGCAACTTGGTAAGACCTCATCTCTACAGCAGATCACCAAAAAACTAGCCAGGCATGGTGGTGTGCATCTGTACTTCCAGCTACTTGGAAGGCTGAGGCGGAAGGATCACCTGAGTCCGGCAGGTCGAGGCTGCGGTGGCCATGAGCATGCCATTGCACTCCAGCCTGGGCGACAAGAGTGAGACTCCAACTCAAAAAAAAAAGATGATTATGTCAGCTCATCCACATAGCTTACCCTGCCGCCCTTCCCCACCCCTGCAGGATGAGTTCATGGCTCTGTATCAGTACTCCCCTAGAACTTTCCATGTGCCGGCAACATGGCTCAGGGTATCCCAGCTCACAGAGGGCATCTCTAGGTACGGGGTGATGAATCGGACCATTTGAATCTCGGCATCAGAAGCTGAAACCAGACTGAGCGCTTTGGGGCCGTGGGGCGGAAATCACTGTGCTCCTGAACAGCAAGGTGAGCAGCGGCCTGGAGATGCCAGGGCCACTGGACAGAGCTGAGAATCCGCATCAAGCCTGCGGAGGAAGCAAACCCAAGGTCCCCGTTTGTGTCTACAAGTCAGGACCCTCAGATGTGGAGCTCAGCGGCACCCCCAGCCGCTGTGTGTCCCCGGGCTACCGGGGACCCCTCTGCGTCTCCGCCTTCCCAGCAGGAACAAGGAAGTCGTCAACCGCCTCGTGGGGTGATGGAGATCTCGGGTGAGACACGGTGGTCAGCCGCCCGTCACGGCACCCGTGCTCAGTGCTCAGGAAGGGGTGTGTACCTTTCAGGGGGTGGGCTGGAGCACCCTTGCCGTCCTCTTTCTCTGGGGCAGGACAAGGTCAGATCACAGATCCAGGGGGAAGGGAGATGAGAAGCGGCACAGGCCGGTTCTGCAGGGCTGCCCGGAGAGCAGGGGTCTGGAGGCGTCTGGACAGGATCCTCAGGGACTTGCCCTGGTGATTGAGAGAAACTTCTAGGCCGAGACTTCCAGGCCCTGGACAGCTGTGCAGGAGCAAAATGCAGGCAGGAGCACGCATCCGTGGGACTGATGTAGCCACTCCACCGATGAGGAATGAGGCTCCGAGAGCCTGGGGGAACCCGGGCCGTCTGGCTCCTCCGTTCTCTCTCGCTCTTCACCGCCCCTGGCCTCAGCTCTCCGGAAGCTGCAGCCTGAAGGACACAGGCTCCCTCCCGCACAGCTGTCCCTGGGTTTCCCCCTTCCTGTGCCCTTGGATTTCGGTCCACCCCCATCCCACCTGCTTTCCTGGACCCCCTCTCAGGCTTCTTCTCAGCCCTTTCCCAGATCCTGTCCTGACCCTCTGAGGTCCCCATCCTTCTCCAAGCCTGGCGTGGCTGGCTCACACAGCGGCCCGACCTTGCCGTGCGACTGCGCAGAGCCCCACGGCCTCCCCAGGCGCCCCTGCGTCCAGCCTTGTCCTTCTTCATGCTCCCATTTCATCAAGGAGTCCCTGCTAGTCCCGGCTACTGAGCACTGAATTCACTCTTTCATACCAAAAAGTGAACGTCTAGTCGGCCTGCCTCCTCCCCAGCGACAATGAGTGGCTTCTGTGGGGTACAGACAGGAAATTTAGGGGCAGGGAATTTTTATCAGAAAAGATAAGTCTCCTCTAGGAGGGAAGGGAAAGGGAGGCGTCTCCACCATGGCCCTCCTTGCCCCACCTCGATGATGGGGGAAGCCGATCGGCTTCTCTGCTAGAGCCTGTCTCCGGCCATTCTTGCTTTTATCCTCTTTCTGGGGATAGAAATATGAATTGGGCAAACCCGGTTCCAGCCCTCATGGCCTCACGGTGTTCTTGGGGAGAGCACAGAGAAACTCAGGCAGGGTGGGAGACCTGATGCCAGGGGCAGGTACACACAGAAGCCATCTTGGGAGCCATGGCAGTGGGAGCCCGGAGGCATGCTGAGGCTGGTCGGAGGAAGGGGCCTGGGTGGACAGGCGGAGGACCCCGGCGCAGAGCTGCAGAGACAAGAGGGAGATGGCTGTGAGGAACACAGCACAGCTGAGCCCCTCCCCTAGCCGCACCTAACGGGGGGGGGGGGGGTCAGATCTCGCTGGGCCTTGTAGCTGCCATGTTTAGGGGTTTGAAGTTTACTCTGAGGGCCACAGGAGCCTCTGAGGAGCAGACATCGGGCAGGACCCAGCGTGACCAGACTTGGAGTTAAGAGGGATCTCTCAGGCCGCAGGATGGAGCCTGGGTTATAGGGGCACAGACTGGCTCCAAGAGGAGCCCAAAGTGAAGAGCAAGTTTGCGGGTGACAGTCAGAAGGCCAGGGGTGTTCGTCTTCTCGGGCTGCCATTACAAAAGGCCACAGGCTGGGGGGCTCCAACGAAGGCTTCTGTTTTCTTACACTCGTGGAGGCTGGAAGTCTGAAGCCAAGGCTGGTGTCTCCTGTCTCCCTCCTTTGCAGATGGCCATCTTCTCTCTATGTCCTCACATGGTCACACGTGCAGCACGTGTCCCTGAGTGGGTCCTGAGGGCATACTTGTGCTGCTGTGCACAGGTACCTTTTGTAGGCTGCGTGACAAAAGGGTTGACACACACCCTCTGTGAGTCTGTGTCCCAATACCCTCTTCTTACAAGGACCTTAGTGGTCTTGAAGTAGAGCCCAACCTAAAGGCTTCACTTTGACGTGATCACCTCTCTAAAGGCTTCTTCTCCAAATATGGTCACGTCCTGTGGTACCGAGGTTGGAACATTAGCATACGTAGTTTAGGGTTACACGATTCAGTTGCTGGCACTAGGCAAACAGTAGGAGTGGCAGCCACCAGAAGCCATAAGCCGGTGCCCGCCAGTCTGGCTTAAGTCATTTCTTCATTCACTCCTACAGGGCGGAGCTGCCTTTGGGTTTCAGGCCTCATGCAGGGACCCGGGATTCGGAGGGCATTTCTCAAGACTCACAGTGGGGCACACAGCTAACTCCAGCCAGTGGCAAGACTTCTAACGCACCGCCCACCCGGGCAGGATCAGCCTGGGATATGGACACACCCGGGTTCCCAGGGCACCGGGTGGGACTGAGAGCTACAGAAAGCTCTGAGAAATTTCGATTTCGAGTCTTCGTCTGCATCTCAAAACCACCAGGTGACCAGGCTTGGTGGCTCAGCCTGTCTTCCCAGCACTTTGGGAGGCCGAGGTGAGTGCAGGTTCGAGACCAGCCTGAGCAACTTGGCGAGGCCTCGTCTCTACAACAAAATAAAAAATCAGCCGGGAATGGTGGCACACGCCTGCGGTTCTGACTGCTTGGAAGGCTGAGGCGGAAGGATCGCCGGAGCCCAGCAGGTCGACGCTGGGGTGGCCGTGAGTGTGCCACTGCCCGCCAGCCTGGATGATGAGTGAAACTCCAACTCAAAAAAAAAGAAAAAACCCACCAGGCCTGGGTCTCCAAAGCCAGCCAGAGATTTCCTTAGTGCCCTTGCAGCTGATGGGAGTACCTGGGTCCAGTGATCGGGTGAAGACTCACACTTGGTGCTTTCTTTCTGGGAACAGGCCAGTAGCGACTCCCAGGAATGTTGGCACCTTTTGTGGACCTCAGGATGGGAATTCAACCCTGTGCGTTTCTTTTTTCTCTTTTTTTTGAGTTGGAGTCTCACTCTGTCGCCCAGACTGGAGTGCAGTGGCCGCTCCCGGCCACCACAGCCTCGACCTGCTGGGCTCCGGCGATCCTTCTGCCTCAGCCGTCCAAGGAGCCAGAATTACAGGCATGCGCTACCACGCCCGGCTGATTTTTTGATTTATTGTAGAGATGAGGTCTCGCTGCCCAGGCGGGTCTCGAACCTGTGGGCTCAGGCACTCCACTCACCTCAGCCTCCCAAAGGCGCGGGATGACAGGCTGAGCCACTGAACCCGACTTGTGCATTTCTAATCATTTATTTTGTGGGCTTGTATTTATGTATCTTATACTTTCTGAACCTTTGCTTTCTTTCTTTTTGTAATTTTTAATTTTAAAGATGTGGGGTACAGTTCAGGGTTGGGCATACAAATGTTCAT